TTGCTGCTCCACACTGGCCGCCGCCGCCCGCAGGCCAAGGAGGCTGCGCTGTCGCCTCCACCCAGTCATCGTCAACGTAGCGCCATTTGAGACTCTCTCCTGCGAGCGCGCCTGCCCTGCGAGCGCATGCAGAGTCTTACCCGACGCGCCTGCCCCCGACGCATCTGGCATCGAGCTCGCGCCCCTGTCCCGCCAGGGCTTGAATGAATGAACCGCAGCAGTGACGCCCACGAACGAAACCTGGATGACGGCAGGATGCCCGTCGCCGAACGCAGCATTCCACGTGGCGGGGTGCATGGCTCGGAACTCACGGGGGTCCGCTGGAAGCGAGGGCGCCATCTCAAAGGGCTCTGCCTTGCACATCCCCTTCCACATCTGCTTAACCTGCTTAAACGTCCCCCTCAGAAAGTGGACGGGCATCGCGCGGGCCCTCGGGGCACCTCCCACCGCGATCAACACCAGGGCTGTCACGTACGCGTGGGTGCCCTCAGAACAATTCTTCATGCCCAGCAGCACGAGGAAGGTGAGCACTGCGCGAGCCTTCTGCAACGCGCCCCCGCTGGACGAGATGACTGCGGCCAACACCTCCGCACTTAAGTGGTCGGGGAAATGCGTGTAGTCCTGCGCCTTCCACGTCCCGCTGCTCTTGCTCGTGGCGGCCGCTGCAAAGGCTGTTTCCAGCTGCTGGGCGTCGGCGGGACAGAAGCTGTTGCGTTGCACCAGCCCCACGAGGCGGATGAGAAGCTGGCCCTGGGGGCGCACCAAGCCGACCAGCTCCACCAACCGAGCCGTTTGCGCACCCGACGTCTTGGGCCGAGGCAGCGCGCAGCAGCTCCTGCACCCCCTCCGCGCGCTGAAGGAGCTCCCGTTGGAGCGCCATCGAGCTCAGGGGCAGCAGGCGAGGACGGCCGACGCGCGGCCGAAGGGGGGGGGCAGCAGGCGGCCGCAGGCGTGGGCCAAAAACGGCTGCGTCGACATGTTCTTCATACTCTTCATCATCCTCGTTGTTTCCTTGTCGTGGCACATGGAGAAGCAGGATGGGGAGGACTCGAAGGAATGGGGGAAAGGAGGAAGCGGTTGATCCGCCGATGACGGAGGAAACGGAGGAGGCGGTTGATCCGCCGAAGAAGAAATAGGAGGAAGAGGGTGGATGAAGGGGGCGGTTGATCCGCCGAAGGAGGGAGGGGACGGATGAGGCGGTTGATCCGCCGACGCAGAACTTGGAGGAACAGAAGGTGAAGGAGGTGGCGGCTGATCCGCCGAAGGGGATCGAGGTAGACAAGAAGAGGTGGCGGGGGGAGGGGGGGAGGGGGGGAGGCGGTTGATCCGCCGAGTGATTGATGATGGGAAAAGCGGAGGGGGGGGCGGGCCGGGGGGGGCTGGGGACAAGGCGGTTGATCCGCCGAAACAAGGAGTGGGACGAGTGTTAGGAGGGGTGGGGGAGGATGAGGACGACGAGGGAACCCTTCCACTAAAACGAAGCGGTAAACCATTGAAACGTCAATCCCGAGTAAAACGACAAAGCAACACAAACAAACAAACAAACAACAGCAAAAACAACAACTGTCAAACCGCACCAAACACACATATCAAATCGCACCAACAATCGCAGACGGCGTGCAATCATGTCAACTTAAGCAACTTAATAACTAGTTAATAAGTACGATAAGTGTATGTATATCATACGTATAACATGCCCCTTAACCAACATACAGCATGCACTCTTCTTTTACCTGTTGCTTACATGTGTAATTACTCACACCAACTGCCTGGGGCATCACAGTGGAGGGCCGCGCAGGGCGCCATCGCCGCCGGGCACGGTCGTGGCCAGGGCCTTCTCGCGGCAGCGTCGCGCAACATGGCAGAGCTTCAGCTGGGGCCCGACGTGGAATGCTGGGGGGGCGCGCCGTCGTCGCCGACAGGGTGGCGACCAGCTGAGCGCCCGCTGCAGGCCACGCGGGGCGTGCTGCTCGAGGCGCGGGGGCGCACCGAAGCTCGCGCGGTCCCCGCCAGGCGCGCCGACTTCGCGCACGTCGGCGAGGGCATCGACCGATGGGTCACGCGGCGCTTTTGAGCAGGGGCCGACCGTCCCAGCATTCTCATAGTCATACCACGAAATCTTCTTAGAACCCGTGCACTGCTCCAATAACAAAAACGATGCTCTTAGAACATAAACCCGACGTGCTAAAACAAACAAGACGGACTCCGCCAGAACTGTTCGAATAATATTTTGTGGTAGCCGCAAAAGGTTCTTAGTACACTGTTCAGTAGGGCTATAGGCGAGCCAGGACGCTTCGCCACTGCTTGACGCTTGCTGGAGAGCGACCAGCTCGCCCCAGCTGCCGCTGGCGCGCTCTGGGCGGTGGTGGCCGGCAACGTGGTCACGGAGTCCTGCGCAACGCGGCAACGGCGGCCAAATGGGGGAAGCCTGCGCGATGCCCGCACTGTGGAGCTGCGCGGGGGGACCGTCAGCACCGATTCTGGGAGTGCCATTGCTGGCCGGCCACGCGGCAAGCAACGCTCGCCGCTGCCGGGTACTCGGCCCCTGCTTTCCTGGCCCGCCTGCCGCATGGCGTCGCGAACTCTGGTGTCCTCCCACAGGACCCCGTGCTGGCGGCGCTCGCCGCCGCCGCCGGCGCGTCGCTGCCCGCTCCCGCGCTGCCAGCGCCCGCGATGCCCCTGAACCCGCCGCAGCGCTGCCCGGCCTGGACGGACGGGACGTGCGAGCACCCGCAGGACCCACTGCTGGCCCGCGCAGGATAAGGCTTATGGCTGAAGCGCCCCTGCTTGCCCTTCGACGACCGCGCTGGACCCGTCGACGGTGAGCAGACGGCGCAGCGGGCCGAGGTGACTGCAGCGCTACACGCTGTCAGCGCGGCGGGCCGCCTGGCGGAGATCCCTACCGATTCGCAATACGTTCAACATGGTGTGATGGCCATCCGTGCTGGCGCGTCGCCGCGGGAGTGGCAGCACGCACACTTCTGGGCCTTGCTCGCGCCACACTGCCAATTTGGGTTCGCCACCGCGCGGTGGGTAAAGGCGCACCTCGACGAGGAGGTGGCGGCGCGGCGCGGCATATCCGAGGAGGACCGGCTGGGAAACGAGGCTGCCGATCGCCTGGCGGGCGCCGCCGCGACCGCCCGCTTGCCCGCGGCAGCCCTTCGGCAGGGGCGGGCTGTCTGGCTGGCTGCGCTCACGGCGCCGCAGACCATGCTGGCAGCAGTAGAGCTCGAGGCCCTGAAGGCCAACCATGGGAGCCACGGGCCAGGCGGCCCCCGTGTCCGCAGGCGGTGGACAGCGCCAGGGCCCAGACAACCACGCGCCGCGCCGCACGGCTAATGGAGCGCAGCGACTGTGCGCGTCCGCAGCGGCGCGGGCGCGGGCGCTCTTCGCTGGCGCGCCCACGTGGCCTCCCGAGGCCCTGGCTGGGTGGCGTGGCTGCGCTGCGGTTGCTGGGCGCCGCGGTGGGAACGCCTCGCGAGCCGGCCCTGCGGCGGGCGCGTCCCAGTCCTGCCGCCGAGTGCGACCGGACTGCTGCTGCTCCCAGCGGTGCGGGCTGGGGGGCCTGACGCTGAGTGGCGCGCGGCCTTGCAGGCGCGCCTCGCCGAGCGCCCCGGCGCACCAGACTAATTCGGTGCACGGCCGCGTGCGGGGCCCCAGGCGCCCCAGAGGGCGCCTCCGCTGCGCGCGGCCGCAGGCCTATTGGCGCGTCGGCGCCCGTGGCCTCGTTGTTTTCCCCCCCTCCCCCTCTTCCTCTCTCTCTCGCTCTCTCTGGGGCTTCGCATGGATGCCAACAAAGTGCTGTATGGAGGGGGGGAGACTGGATTGGGCAGGTGAGCGGACCCCCCCGTCACAACGCCACAACTCGGCACACGCCTCGCGCACCTCGTGCGCGACAAGACGAGGCCCCCCGTCCGTCCACGCCGCCTCGCCACGTACACCCTTGCGGCGCTTCCATGGGTGAGGTCTTCTGGGGGGGGATTCCGACGTCTCTGGTTGGTCAACCCCTCGTTGTCCTCACCTTTCATCCTTTCTCCGCATCCCCCCACTCTTGCTCGTGCGTTCCTCCTCCTCCTCCTCCTCCTCCGCCTCCTGATTCAGGTACCCGTTGACGGATCCTGTATGCTGGCGCCCCTGGCGCCTTCTCCTCCTACTCCTCCTCATCCTTCTCCTTCTGATCCTCCTCTTCCACTCCGGATATCCTCATCCTTTCCTCTCTCCTGTTCTTCCTCTTCCTCGTTTGCCCCCTCCCTCGCTCCCCCTGCTCCTGGTTGATCTCCCTTATTCCTACTCCTTTTCCTTCCTCCTCATCCTCATCTCGTCTTTCTCTCTACTCCTGATCCCTTCTCGCTTCCTCCATCTCCTCAGTTTCCTCCTACTCCAATCAGAGCCTGCCACATTGCGATGCGCTCAGCTTCCTTCCATCTGGACGCTCTATTTCCTCGCTCTTGTCCAACGTTTTCCCTCCCTTTCCACGTCGATCCTCCTCCTCCTCCTCCTCCTCCTCCTCCTCCTCGTCCGCCTCCTCCTCCTCCTCCTCCTCCTTCCTCCCCCTCCCTTCTGGTTCATCCCTCCTGTTTCGCTTCTCTCCCTCTCTCTCCGTCATCCGCCTCTCTGTCTCCTTCTTCTTCTTTGCAACATATTTATATATACACATGTGTATGACGCTCGCTCTCTTAATATCCTCTTCTCCTCCCTCTCGCGTTCTCCCTTCTCGCTGCTCCCCTCCCAGCCTTTACCTCCATTCTAGTCACTCTCCTCCTGCTCCTGCTCCTGCTCCTGCTCCTGCTCCTGCTCCTCCTCCTCCTGCTCCTCCTCCTCCCAGTCTTCGTCCTCCTCCAGCTCTTATTCCTTCTCCTCCTCCTCCTCCTCCTCCTCCTCCTCCACCCTCCAGAGTCCCCCATCCCCCTCCGCCTTCTTCCTCCCACCTCCCCCTTCCTTCTCCCCCTCCCTCCCTCCCCCATTCCTTCTCCTCCGGGAGGGGGGGCCGGCCCAGGTGCCTGCTGAAGCCGGCCGGGTCGAACTCGTAGCGACCCCAGGCGCCCTCGGCGCCCACCTCCCGGGGCCGAAGGCTGCTCAACACAGCCCCCCTCCTCTGCGACTGGTGGGACTCGGCGGCGCGCCCGGAAGGGAAGGCAGAAGGGGAAGGCTCAGAAGGCCTCCGGCCTCCTGAGAAGCTTCCTGAGCCTTCTCCGAAGCCACAAAGGGCTTCGGAGAAGGCCCGCCAGCTGCTGAGAAGGCCTGCCCCCTCTCACTTCCCCCCTCGGCGCGCCGCCGAGGTACATCTAGCGCTGCAGCGAATGCTGCAACTGTTCGTACTTGTCCTTGGCTGGTTCGAGTCGTGACGTCCTGGGCGCTGGTTCCTCACACCGCGTGGTTCGTTCAACCTTGAACAACCGCGGCGTTCCGACAGCGCGGATCGTTCGGTATGGCTTAGTCTGCGCCCCTGGCGGCGATAAACCTTGAACATCAACGCTGGCAACGCAGCGGCACCCTCACGCCGAGAACCTGCGGTACATACCCGCCGTCCTGCCTACCTGCCCGCCTGCGTACTGAGGAGGAGGACGACAACGCGACAAACGACGATGAACGACCACGACGGACGAGGACGGGATGCGAGGACCGACGATGAACAACGACCGCGACCGAAGACGACCGACGAGGGCGACGACGACGCCGAAGCCCCTCTGCGCGCCAGGCCCTGGGCGAACTGGCCGTTGTCAAGGAGGTCGATGCCTGAGTCCTCGGCAACGGGGGGGGCAAAGGGTGGGAAGGTGGGGTGCAGCTCGTCTGGCTTGCGGGAGGGGTAGCGGATCTGCGGTTGATGATGCGCGAGTTTCGAGGTTCGACACGTTGGTTGAATTCTTGTATGCCTTTTTGGGCCTCTTGGAAGCTTCTCGTCGCCAAATATTCCTGGCGCCGTCAGGCAGTAGCGACGGAGAGTGTTCGGCGACATTCGATTCTTGGGGCCCTCGCCAGGTCCCAAGGCCGTCAGAGAACACGACTCAGAATGAGGGGGAGGGGCAGCAAGTCAGTGCAGGAGTCCTCGGAGGGGGTAGCCGGGGGCAACGTTGTTTTTTTCTGGACTCGCATCGCAAGCGAAACGATTACCGTCGCTGCGAGTCCTTCGGCTGGGCGACCGCTCGGCGGCGACCGCAGTTGTCGTTGCATGCAGGTCCTCCCCCTCTTCCCCCCCCCCCTCCTCCTCCTCCTCCTCCTCCTCCTCCTCCTCCTCCTCCTCCTCCTCCTCCTCCTCCTCCTCCTCCTCCTCCTCCTCCTCCTCCTCCTCCTCCTCCTCCTCCTCCTCCTCCTCCTCCTCCTCCTCCCTCCTCCTCCTCCTCCTCCTCCTCCTCCTCCTCCTCCTCCTCCTCCTCCTCCTCCTCCTCCTCCTCCTCCTCCTCCTCCTCCTCCTCCTCTCCTCTCGGGCTGTTTAGTCCAATCCGCGCTGGCGCCGATTGTCTGTCGCAGCGGATCACGGCAGGAACCATGCGTGTCCTTGCCAGCCCAAGCGTCCGTCAGGATGCATGGCCTTCTTGCTTGTTTGCTAGCTTGCGAGTCCTTCGCTGCAGGCCTTTGGCGGCACCGCTACCCTCGTGTGCATCGGGCGTGCGCGCGCGCTGCCGCGGCCTGTTGCAAGCGACGTCTTGTTGACTCTTGTGGTCACTGGTCACATGCGCCTGCCAGGCGCTCAGCGGGATGGAACAAAAATCTGCCGGCTGAGAGAGACTTGCAGGAGGACAGTCGCCTGGTGGTCTCATGCAGAGAGACCTTATACACCAGCGCTGGGCCATGGTCGCAAAGCGAGATATCTCGGTCGCCAATCCGAAAGGCTGCAGGGAGGACCCGAGTCTTCTAGATGTCCCGAGACTGCTGGGCACCATGTCGCAAGCGGAGTCGCGCGTCACCGTTGCTTAGCGAACTGGCAGGTTGACTGAATGGTCCGCACTCTTGGCCATCCATTTGTCAGTCTGCAGTGAATCAATGAACTGCAATACTGTGGGCAGTAATGTCGCACATCGGCTTTCCAGGCTTCTGCTGAAATTGCAGCGAGCTGTCGGATATCATACGCATGATAATTAGCAACGACATGAATTACCCCGAAGCTTTCGGGTACCCTGTGGCATGCAGAGTCGCGTCGCGGTCGCTCAGCGGACTCGCATGCTGACTGAATGGTCCGCGCATCCCTCGCAATCACCTAAGGACCAGGAAAACCACAGCTAAGTTCCACCTTCCTGTAGACATCCTGTATCCTCTTCCTCCTAGCCCCTTCAAGTCTGCCTGCAAAGAGGCGTCAGTAGAAGCTAATGACCCTTGCGTGCCCACTAGAAGTGGTATCTAGGCGCTCGCCAGCCCACTGGCATGCAACACGCGCGCCAGAATCCGTGCTGAGATGGCGCTCGAGCGCTGCTGGACACGTTGCTTTGCTCCTCCAGAGCCACTGCGCGACACTCAAGTGGTTTCGCAGTACGCGAAACTTGCTGCGTTCTTGCGTGCCCCGTGCCCGAGAGCATGCAGCGCGCGCGTCAGTAGGAGCGCTCTGCCAAACTTGCGCTCGAACGCGGCCAGAAACGATGCGGCCTTCCCCCCCGAAAAGGTCCGACTAAAAACCGCGGAGATGCCCGTTCCTGCACCAAGTGTTCGTCCGCTAGCTCCTGCCGCCGCTGCTTCTCCTCCCCTCTCATCCATCCTCCTCCCTCCGTCCCTCCGTCTTCCCCAACCCCCCATCAGATGGCAACGATCTGCGCGTGCCCTGTGGACCTGAGGGTGTGCGACGCCGACACCGAGCCCGCCAGCGCGCACCCGTCGTCTGGAAAATAGAGGCTCCTGCACAGCCTCTCCAGCTGGGCGCCGATCCGGCGCAGCTCCCTCGCGCTCCTCCGCTGGACCCTCGCCTCCTTGAGCAGAGCCGCCACGTCGGAGCTCTTCGCGGGCCCGCGGAGGCGCATGCACCCCAGCGCGAACTCCTCGATCTTGACGGCTCCCTCCTCGTCCTGCTCCAGGAGGCTGAAGAGGCGGGCGGCGTCGGAGGTGTCGAGCTGCTGCGTGGCGAAGAACGCCTGCGCCCGGTCGTTCTTCAAGTAATCCCGGAACTTCTGCCAGGTGATCCTGCCGGCCTCCTCGTCGTCCACCTCCTCGAAGATAGTCCTCATCTCGGCGAGGAACACCTCCTGCGAGGCCAACTCCCCCTGCGTGGCCATCTCCCTGTCGAGCCTGCTGAGCTCCCGGGCGCGCTCGACGAAGACGCTCGTCAGGACGTTGAGCACCCCGATGACGACGAAGAGGACGTAGAAGATGAACAGCAGCTCGAAGCTCCAGTGGATCTTGCCCAGCGGGTCTGCCATCTGCTTCCAGTCGGCGCCGTTGGAAATCGCGAGGAGCAGCGTGAACATGGTAAGGCTCAGGTTGCCGTAGTGGGCCCTCAGCGCCTCAACCACGTCCTCCTCGCCGCCTTCACGCACGTAGGAGGCTGCGGCATGCATGAAGCAAATGCTGAAGAGGTATATGACTGATAATAGCAGCACTAGGGCGGAAAATAGGGAAACCAACGACTGGCTTAAAGAACATAGCATGAGCCGGATGTCGCGGAAAATATGCACATAACTCATAGCACGGACTGCTCGTACCAGGCGAACGGTGCGGACTATCTGAAAACACGGCTGGTAAGTTTGGAACACGACCAGCTGGATTACGGAATACGCTGCCAGTAAGACGTCAGTGATGTTCCACTTCCACTCTTTGCCGAACAAATATTTCCAGCGCTTGGCAAATATACGAAACACGATCTCCAGCAATAACGCGGCCAGGACAATCGAGCTCGTGATGTGGAAGCAAATCGGATCGGCACTCTCGATTTCTCCCATCTGTGCCCTGACATACGCGTCCAGCGTCAGCCCGATGATGATCGAGTTGACGACGATAGCGGTGCTGCACAGCATCTCGAAGCCGGTGCTGTCCACCACCCTCTCGGCCCAGAATTTCGACCTCTTCTCGCGGCCGGTGTTGAGCGGGCCAAGGAAGGTCTCCAGCGTCTCGCAGGTCCGTTGCCAGCCCATCCAGTCTACGCCAGTCTTCCTGGCGCTGATCTTCGACGAGATGTGCCCCCTCATGTGGCGCCTCCACTCCAGAGCGCCAGCCGGGGAGCGGGAGTTCAGGCTCACGACCCGGGTCAGCTCCGCCGTGCGGCCTGCGCTCCGCGCCGACGGGCTCGCGGGCGCTTCTTCGTCCACGGAGAGGGGGCTCGGCATGCCCCCGAGGAGCGCGTTCGTTGTGCGGCACGTCGGGGCCGTGCCCGCGGCGCTCACCGAAGGCGAGGCGCAGGAGGCCGAAGGGCTCGGGTGGCTCTTCGTCCCAGACTCGCCCTCAGGCGAGATGTCCGCCTGCCGGCCCCGGCGCCCAGAGCGCTGGCCGCGGACGGGCGGCACGCGGTCCGTCGCGTGGCTCGGCGCCTGTGCCACGGGCCACGCCCATTGCTGCGGCGACCGCGGCGATCGCGGCGACCGCTGCGCCGTCACGTAGCTGATCTCGCCGCTCGCCGCCCGTGCCCTGGCCGCGGCCGCCGCCGCCGCTATCCCCGGCAGCATGGCCGCGCGGAGGCGCTGGTCCTGCGCGAGCAGCAGCGCTTGCATGTTCTCTTTCTGCCTCAGTGTGGCCAGGTCCATCTCCTCGCGGAGCAAGGCCTTCAGGGCGGCGCACAGGGTATCGGAAAGCCCCGCCGTGGTATGGCCCTCCGCCTGCTGTCGCTGCTCCTCCATGGTGCCGAACCCGTAGGACACATCCGAGTCGGCCATTTCTCGCTCCTCGCGGGCTCCCCAGGACCGGTTGTCGGCCCAGCCCCGCAGCCCTTCTGGCGCCGGGGGGGATGCAGCAGGGGGCGCTCGGCGCGCTCGGGCGCCGGCCGGGCCGGTCTTGTGCCGGGGCGGCTGAGCCAAAATGGCTACGGGGGGTAGCCGGGGGCAACTGTGGGGGCAGCTAGCTGGTGGGTGCCCTGGTCCTCGGGATGGGGCAGGTGATCAGGTGGCGAGCAAGCCCGGTCGCAACCACGAGGGGCTGATCTCAAGCCAGAAGGGTCTCATCACAAACGGTTGCGGACAGCCCCCTCAGGTTGCGACAAGCGCGGCGTTCCTGAATGTATGCGCTGATCGTGAAGGCGCTTTCAATGCACATTCCAGATAAAGTGAATGCAATGGCCGCTCCGAGCCCTAAAACATGAGTTGCGATTAAGGGGGTCCACAACGGATGTGTCAGCAACAACGCATGGGTAGCCGTCTTCTCGCGCACTTACACATATCGAACTCCAATCCTGAGCGTCCCCAACAGCATGATAACTACAAATATCCGCAGATGTGGAGTGCGGTCAACCAAACACTTCCAAGACTTACACACACACGCAACAAATTAGGAACTATACACCGCAAGAAGCTATTTTGTTCATGCGGTGAAACATTTGCAACCACCTGCACGTGCGAAGAATCGCCAAATTTTATTCGCGTGTAGCCAAGACGTGTTGCAAGCGAGTGAAGTTGCTGCACCGATCGCGGTCTAGACCATCTGCACCTCGGTCCCTGTAGCATCACCGACCCGCAACATGAGCTACACTTCGGCGCGACTCGGTGCACGCAACTGCACGTGTGTGAACTACGCGCGGCTAGAATCGGATAACCCATAAAGAGTTGCAACTCAAAACATCGGTATATCAGGTTTGCTTGATGCGAACTATTCACTACAACGACGAGCCCCACTTACCAACAGACCACCTACACCCAACTGGAACACAACCTCTAGAAACAACACGGAACATGGCTGTACACATGTTTCACGGATGCGAGCGCTCACCGACTCTTGGCTACTAGGTGCACGTAGTACCAACACACCTCTAGTACATATATATAATTATATATATACATACTCAAACAACGCGTGCGCTTCGCGCGCTTAGGTTCGAGCTGAGAGCAAGCACAGTAGATTTGGTAATCCATTGGGGTTCAACTAGGGTCAACAGGATAGAAGACTGACTGCAGACTCACTGCGAACTGGAAGCCATGAAGAATGAAGGCACACAAAAACAACCATAGGAGTGAGGGAGCGCCCGGAGGAGAGAGGAGGGAGATGGGAGGAAGCAATAGGGCAAGACTCCTGCTGTCCCGTCGTCATTCTGCTGCTGTTTTGTCGGCGTCCTCCTCCTTTTTCTCTTACTCCTTCCCACCTGATCCCCATCCTCATCATCGTCATTACCAACGACAACCACACTACCGTCACAAGCGTAGTCGTTATGATAGTCACCATCATGAACGCCATGATCGTCCTCATCCTCGTCACCATCACCACCATCATGATCATCATCATCAACATCATCATCATCATCCTTGCCATCATTCGTCTCCCCTGGTTTCCTGCTCGCCCTCGTCGTCCCCGTTCTTTCTCCGCTTGCCACCATCATCGTCAACCTCACTCCGTCGTTGTATTACCATAATATTTAGCCTCCTCCGATTCCGCATTCGCCCGCCCACAACACCATCATGATCATCACGATACCCATCACCGTCATCAGCATCACCAGTAGCATCACCATCATTAACATCGTCATCGCCAATCATCAACATCATCGTCATCGTCATGGTAACCGACACCGTTTTCCATATGGTCATGGACATGGCCGCGATCATGGTAATGGCCATCGTCATCATCATCGTCGCCGCAGTCGCCGTCAGCAGTGAACATGGTAATGGTCATCGTCATCATCACCGCATAATCCCCATCACGAGCAGCAGCATCGTCATCACCACCACCAGCATCATTATCAGCAGCAGCATCAGCATCACCATCGTGACCAGCATCGTCATCATAAACATCATCAGCATGGACAGCATCACCATCATCATGATCATTAGCATCATCATCACCACAACCACCATCACCATCACCATCACCATCACCATGATCATCATCAGCATCATCATCATCGTCATCATCCGTATCACCATCATCAGCATTATCATCAGCAACACCATCATCAACATCATCATCAGTATCATCATCGTCATCACCGTACTCATCAACATCATCAACGCCATCATCACCACCATCATCAGCATCAGCATCAGCATCAGCATCAGCATCAGCACCAGCACCAGCACCACCATCAGCATCAGCATCAGCATAAGCATCAGCATCAGCATCATCATCATCATCATCATCATCATCATCAACATCATCATCATCATCATCGTCATCATCATCATCATCAGTCTCATCATCGTGTGCCTGCCATGCCTCATCGTTTTCAGCCTCCTCCTCCTCCACCTCGTCATCCGTCCTCCACCTCCTCCTTGTTCTTCGCTCCCCTTCCCTCCTCGTCGTCAGCATGGGTCTTGTGTCGCAAGACCCCTCTTCGGCGTGCAGGGTGCCTCTTGAAAGCCTCCTGGTGCCTCTTAGAGGTCACCTGGGGCAAGACATTTGGGTCCTTGGGTCTGATTTCGAGGATGTTCATGCGAGACATCTCGTGAGGGGTCTGCTCGAGTCTCCCGTCCCTGCAGCCTGTTTGGCTCGGCAGTGGGCGGGTGGGTTTCATATTCCAGGCGGGATACCGCCTCAGGACGGCGCGGGCCAGCGCGCCGCCGATAGTAATAGCGAAAAGGGTTCGCTTCACATTCTTCATTTCTTTCTCAGCATTTACGTCATAGACGACGGTGACGACAAGGGCTCCAAGGCGCCCTTCAATTCAGATTGGTAGCGAGAGCAGAGTTTCGACCACGGTCAACATTGTGACGATCAGGATCGTCGGCGACAATGTAGAGTGGTGCGACTACGACCGGAGGAGCTGCTGGCGGCTCAGCAGCACTACGACTAGACGTCCCGCCATGGGACGGAGAGCCCGACAGACTGCTGGCATACAAGTTCGATGTCGGGCTCTTCAGCAAGAGCTATAAGACGCAGGACAGGTACGTTGTGGGACCCCAACTGGTGAGAGCACTAGGGGCAAGAACACGCAGACTGGCACAGGCGTGTCCAGACATCGACAAGATCGACGAAGTCAATGACGAGGGTAAAATGACAGGTTGGCAACGTGTCTTCGACTATCTCTTGTCAAAGCTCGACCTGTCCAGCGTGAACGAGATGGGGAACTCAGCTGAGAAGTTCTTCAACAAGCTCCAGCGGGAGCCGGGTGAGGGCTTTCCCGACTGGACGGCGCGCTGGGAGGCGCACGAGCGCGACCTCTTGTCACAGCTTAAGGCGGTGGACAGCTCAGTCGAGGAGGTCATTGCAGCACCTCTGAGGACGTGGTGGTACCGCCGCCGTTCGCGCCTGAGCCCTGTGGCAAGGGCCGAGATCACCGCGACGGCGGGCGGCGACTACGACTTCGGCAGGACGTACAAGGCATTGTGCACGAGGTACCCGTTGGAGGCGCTCAAGGAGATCGACGGGGTCCGCGAGAAGAAGGATCGGCGCGCAGGGTTCTTCGGCGAGGCAGAAGAGGCCGAGCAGGAGGACCACGACCTCGAGGACAGGTCCGAGATCGCGGACATCGTGGACCGGCTGGTGAACTTAGCTGATGAAGAGGACACGACCCTCTTCGAAGACGCCGAGCATGCCGACGACTACGAGGACGGCATCTACGCGGAGTTCAAGCAGCTGGGCAGGAACTTCAAGGACGCGAGGGACCTCATCAGGAAGCTCAAGGTGGCGAGGGACTACTACCCCGCGCTCGCTCCCCGATCGGCGGAGGGACCCCCTCGTCATCGACAACTACGTGATGGCCAACGCTCTTCTCGCCAAGATGGCCCACGATCCTCTCGTCAGGACGGTGGTCAAGAACCTGCGCGCGACAGGCGCAGGATGAGATGTCTCGCCTGCCGCAAGTTCGGGCACCAGGCGAAGGACTGCCGCGAGAGGACGAAGGACCGCGGCAAGCCCCCGCACAACGACATGACCTCGTTTGCGCTTCTAGAGCTCGGCGACCTGGTGCTCCTCTTGGACGACATGTGCGGCGTCTGGGCGATCCTCGACTGCGGGGCCACGAGGGGCCTCATCGGCGTAACGATGGCCGAGCACCTCATCTACGACATGGAGGAGAAGCACAACATACTGTTCGACGTAGTGGAGCGGACGCGGCATTTCACTTTCGGCGACGGCAGGCGCAAGAGCTCGATGGGCACTATGAAGGGTGACATCTTTCTCGGCGACGGCCAGGAGGAGATCGAGATCTCGATCATGGACGACGAGGTGCCACTGCTGATCGGCATGGACGTGCTGGGACCTGATCATACCAGCGCTCTCATCGACTGCGGGAACGGCTACCTGATGCTGCCGAAGATCTCACACCAAGTCTTCCAATGCCGAAGGATGCCCAGTGGTCACCTCGCCATCAACGTGACGACTCCGACGTGGTGGCAGAACGCCCCCCAGAGCCTCCCGAACATCGTCGGGATCACACAGTGCAACGCCCTGGAGGACGAGGCTAAGACGTCCGCAGTCGCGGACGCGGCGGTGCTGGCGCTGGCGCCCGCGGCTGGCGCGGGGGCCTCGAGCTAGGGACAGCACCCCCATGGAGGATCCGAGAAAAGTTCTTTCCTCCAGTCCATCGGGGGGGCCCAAGAAGACTCCAGAAAAGTCTCACACCCTCGAGAGATCCTCAGACTCCCCGAAGTTCGAAGACGCCGACAGGGGTCAGGATGTCCTAGCTGCACCCCCTGGGCCTACTACTACACCCCCAAGCCTCTCGAGATCTCCAACAGCATCTCCTACGAGGGCATCTCGGGGACCATCTTCGGGGACTAGGAGTTCGAGAGCA